CTTCAACCCATCAAGTATTTTTGACTAGCACAGACGTGATGGGTTGAAGATCCTTTCTCAATGCTGTAGACCTCGATGAACAAAGTCAATGGTTTTGCTTTGAATAAAGCAGGCCATTCAGCCCATCGAATCCACACCGATCCTCCGAAAAGCATCCCGCCCAGATCCACATGCCTATGCTATCCCCATAACCCTGCATATTTCCCATGGCTAACCCACCTAGGCTGCATATACCTGGACACTATGGGTAGTTTAGCATGGTCAATCCACCTAACCTGCACATCTTTGGACTGTGGGAGGAAACTGGGCCACTGGAGGAAACTCATGTAAATTCGGGGAGAATGTGCAAACTCCACACTCTATACTCAAGAGTAGAATTGAACCCGGGTCCCTGGTGCTGGTAAGCAGCAGTGGTATCACTGAGCCACCATGCTGTTGAGGTGCTTTTTCCAAACCAGTAAAATTGGAGATGTCTGCAAACTTTTTAATGAGCTGTTTGAAGCCACATGTGAGGAATCTGTTAGGGTAAAGGGATTAATTCAACCAGCTGTGTCAGCTAATAAACTGTTTTATTTAAAAATCTTGAAGACATGCCCGTACTTGTTCAATTTCTCTTTGGAAAAGTTGGGATACTTGATGCTGAAATTTGTCATCCATTTGAAGAATGCAAAAAAATTGTTGAGCGTTCATTAAAAACCAGGCCATAACCTTGTTCATCAATTGACCACTTATTTAATTATTGACTGAGAGAATCCAATCCCTTATAATTTTCCTCATCCACTACTGAAAATTCTCTTGATCATCCACTTCTGACTCTATAAAATGTGCATGCCATCTAGTTTCATCTTTGATAATTCAGCCAAATCCTCCAATCAAATACTGCATCTGTCTGAGCTCCATGTACATTCCACCCATGATTAATTAGTCCCTCAACGGTGTCTCTAATAATTTCTACCTTCCTCACAACTGAGTCTTGGCAAATAGGTTTGTCTGTTGTTTCTGGAGATGCAGCTGTGACCTGATGCAATGAAAGGCTGTTGGAGCATGAATTACATGTTGTGGACTCTCTCTCTCTCTCTTTTGCTTTGCAACGCCTTTAAGAACAGGCTACCCCTGCTTCCACACCAGAAACAAAAGAACCACATGCCAATTCTTCCCAGCAGAGGACAGAAATAGGACTCATCTCTCCATCTTGCAATATAGAGTCATACAGCATGGAAACAGACCCTTCATTCCAACCAGTCCATGCCAAACATAATCCCAAACTAAACCTGTCCCACTTGTCTGCTCTTGGCCCATATCGCACCAAACCTTTTCTATTCAAGTACCCATCCAAATGTCTTTTAAACTTTGTAATTGTACCCACATCCACCACTTCCTCAGGAAGTTCATTCCACACGTGATCCACCTTCTGTGTAAAACATTTGCTCCTCACGTCCTTTTTAAATCTCTCTCCTCTTACCTTAAAAATGTGTCCCCTAGTATTGAAATCCTCTATCCTAGGGAAAAGACAACTACCAGTAACTCTATCTATACCAAACATTATTTTATAAACTTCTATAAGGTCACTTCTCAACCTCTTATGCTCCAGTGAAAAAAGTCCAAGCCTATTCAACCTTTCCTTATTAACTCAAACCTTCCATACCCAGCAACATCCTGGTAAATCTCTTCTGAACTTCTCCAGCTTAATAATATCCTTCCTGTAACTGGGCGACTAGAAGAGCGTGGTGCTCAGCATGATGTCCCAACACCTAAACTCAAAAGACTGAGCAATGGAGGCAAGTGTGCCAAATGGAGTATTTGATGATTGTCTTCAAGCCCTCTGCTTGAGATTGTGGCTCGGAATGAAAAGCTCACGTCTGACACCAGCGTAATTCAAATTTTCCATTCTACCCAACTCAGTAAGAAACTAGATAGGAAAATGGCACACTAGACCTGCTTTTCAAGGTAATGTCCAGTTATATAGCTGCAACCTGTTAGGATTGAGCAAAATTTAGGTCCATTGCATCTTCAAAGTGTACAGCTATCACTGTATTGGTGAAATAAAAAGAAAAAAAACCTACTATAGATGTTGCAGATCTGAAGCAAAAATAGTGTGCTGGAGAAACTCAGCAGGACTGGCAGCGTCTGTGGGGAGAAAACAAAGTTAACATTTGAGTTCTGAAGAAGGGTCCCTGGACTCAAAACATTATGTCTATTTTTCTCCCACAGATGCTGCCAGACCTTTGAGTTTCACCAGCAATTGCTGTTTTTGTGACATGTAATGGTGAATGTGCTCACATTTTGATCTCCTTACTGAACTTGTGAAAGGAGTGAGCCATCTAGGATGTCATTATAAAACAGATCTTTGTGTCTTTTGGTGCAGTGGCAGTGTCCCAATCTCTGAGCCAGGAGGCCTGGGTTTTAATCACAGCAGCTCCAGAAGTACGTAGTAACGTCTCGGAGGAAAATATAAAACAGAACCTTAACAAAGTGCCCATTTGAAGCATGCATTGCCATGGTAATAATGTCACCCTTCAACCCTCTACAAGAAAGTTAACCAACTTAGTTAGCCTCTCTGTATCTCTGGTGAATACAGACCATTACAGCTGTTATATTCCATTTCTTTTTAAGTTACAAGGAGTCAGATTACCTGTCCAGTTCTCATCAATGTTAAAGTTAATCTCTCTGTGTGTAATTAATCTTTTCAAACACGCAGCTCCAGATTGCTCAGAACAGGATAGAATACATGGAACAGTCGATGGTGGAGCGGGGAATTGTAAGTCGACAGGAAGCTATCATCTGTGATCTAGAGAACAAACTCGAGTTCCAGAGGGCCCAGCTGAAGAGATTTGAGGTAGAGTTTTCTTTGTGTATATAACCATTGGTTTTGGTTTAATTCCTCTTCCTATCCTTCCAGGCACCCTATGAATCACCACATCTACCTTAGGCATCGCTTATGAATCCACACGGTGACTTAAGTTCCTTTTCTTTATTCATTCACGGGATGTGGGCATCGCTGGATGGACCAGCATTTATTGCCCATCCCTGATTGCCCAGAGGACAGCTAAGAGTCAACCGCATTGCTGTGAGTCTGAAGTCATATGTAGGCCAGACCAGGTAAGGATGGCAGATTTCCTTCCCTAAAAGACATTAGTGAACCAGATGAGCTTTTCCAGACAATCAGCAATGGATTTGTGGTCATCATTAGAGCCTTAATTCTGGATTGTTATTGAATTCAAATTCCACCATCTGTCGTGATGGGATGCAAAGCCAGGTCCCCAGAACGTTACTTGGATCTCTGGGTTAATAATGAGGCATGCACGCCATCAAGATGACAGCGGAGTAGGGCTCCAGAGCTGGGCCTTGTCTGCTCTGACCGCGATTCTTTTCTTTATTCTCTTTTCGTTTCTTTCCTTCTCCTTTCCTTTCCTTAACTCTGGCCTTGAGCTTGGATGGCATCGGTGACAGTGAGGGATCCGGCGCAGACTCACTTGGGCCTAGCGAGGTGAGCCCCTGTTTACTTCTCCAAAGCCACCACGGGACGTGGCATCAGAGTCAGCGGCTGCTAACTTGGCAGAGATAACGTTGGCAAGGTAGGCCCAGCAGTGAAAGATGGTGCCTGAAGATCGGCAACTTCAACATTGGTTGGGCCCCAGCACTGGCGGCGGCGAGGCGTTGGAGGAGGGGTAGTGGTGCAGGCGTTGTTGATGACGAGCTGGCTCAGGACCTGTGGGCTCCCTTTAGGCTCCATCTTTCTGTTTTCTTTTTTATTTCTTAAATTATTCAAAAGGGCGCTGGATCATGGCAACAGTGGAAAAGCTTTTCACTGCACTTTGCTGTTTCTCTCACTGTAAAACACATGTGGCAGTACAATCATTCATCCATTCATTCTAATAGTCCAGCGATAATACCACTAGGCCCTTGCCTACCTCCTCTGTCTGTGCTCAGGAATTTTAATTCCCGGGGCTTATAGGATTTAGAAATCACATAGAACAAGTTTGAGGTATTTTGGGAAGATTTATTGCAAGGTTTCTTAGAAAGGGGAATATTTTTCTATGTGGTTATGATAAAGCCACAAATTAGTAATATGTAATGTGAAAAATCAGTTAGAAAGATAAGGTTTGAATGAGTGTAAGCGTTCACCCAATATTGATTCTAATGTCATTGGGGATTTGCCCCAGGGTACTTATGTTGTTGCAGGTTTTCTTGCCCAATAAGGCACCTATATGTTTCTCCTAGGTCCCCATTTGACATAGAACCTTTTGCTGACAATTTTACTTCAAAGCTGGACAGAAATTGTCTTGGAACCTGTCATGTCTATAACTGATTTTGTGGCAAATTTCTAGGTGCAGTCTATCATAGATTCTGATGTATACATCAGACTGACACAAGACTCTGCACCAGCTTGCATGTTTAGGCTTATCCTCGATATATATGTTGAGTCTTCCAACCCTCCAATTTTTCAGGCACCTTTAGGTCTAAGAAATCGAAATCAGTTTCTCAGCTCAGACATACATGCTGGAGAGGTGATGGCCTAGTGCTATTATTGCTGGGCTGTTAATCTGGAGACCCAGGTAATGTTCTGGGAACCCAAGTTGGAAACCTGCCACAGCAGATGGTGGAATTTGGATTCAATAACAAAAACAAAACTCTGGGATTCAAAGTCTAATGATGACTGTGAATCCATTGTCGATTATTGGGAAAAACCCATCTGGTTCACTAATTCCCTTTAGAGAAGGAAAGTGCCATCCTTACCCCGTCTGACCGACATGTAACTCCAGACCCACAGCAATGTGGTTGAATCCTAACTGCCTGCTGGGCAATTAGGGATGGGTAATAAATGCTGCCCTAGCCAATGATGCCCTCAGCCAGCGACTGAATAAGAAAAAATACAGGGGATACCCAATTTATGAATGCTCAACTTATGTATGCGATTCCATACAGGGGTGTAACTCTAAATAGACAACATATGAACATTCCCTGTGCTTATGAATGGCTGCTTTATACTGTCCTGAAATATGTTCTGAGTCGTGAACAGACTCTGGACTGGAACCTGTGTTGTATATATACAGGGTTATACTTTCCTTATAGGTTCACACGTGCAATATTGAGCGTGCAATACGGGGTCATGCCGCCAAGAAGCTGTTTGGGAGCTTAAGACATACTCACAAAGAGCATTGAATTAATTTGAATTAGCAGTACTCTTTCTCACATTTCACAATGGTAATTGTTTACACAGTCCCCAGTGCTCATATTTTATACTGGATGAATAAGTCCACCCCAGGTTTGGGAAGGAATTTTCTAAGCTTCAGAGGTGGACTCCTCCTGTTGCAAGGTTCTGAGGTTTAGAATTTGTGGCTCTGCACCTGAGGATTATATGGCTGGAGTTGTTGTTTACCTCACTGTGCTGTGTCCTCCCATTATTTACAGCTGGTTGGTACTTTGGCCTTCTGCTGGCTGTTATCTGATCACTGCCTCCCACTTCCTAATAGCTTCTGCCTTGCTTTAGTTATTACCTTATCAAGATTTAATTCGGCCTCTAATTATAATCTTTCAAACAATCTCTTGTCTAGTTGCCCCACTACAGCATGACAGTGAATTTCTTTGCCAAGTGGAGTAGCTACTGTGCTCAGCTGAATAGTAAGAAGTAGTCACAGACTTATTCTCAATTCACCTATCGTAGAATCATAGATTGTAGAACAATACAGCAGGAAGGAGATCATTCATTCCATTCACTCTGTGCTGGCTTTATGGTCAGGTCATCAATTAATTCCACATCTCCACTCTTTCCCCATACCCTGCAAGTTTTTCTGCTGTTATTTATCCAATGATACTTCTTGCTTCTTTGGGCGTAATTAAACTCTTTCAAAAATTGGCTTTCTGTACATTACCACCACTTTTGCATTTTACACAGTGCTAATTGTGTAATTTTCCCAGGTCTTGTACACCAGTCAAAACTAGCATAAAGTACTCGCTTCCCCACTGATCAAATATTTCCATGTGCTAACTTGATTCCATTTATATTTATCGTACAAGCAATATTAAATCTTTTAAATCTGTTTATCTATCTTAGCCATGTGTCTGAAATGAAGTTTACCTGGTGGGCTAATGCAGTAAAAGGCTATTTATCAACATCATCAAACTGCTTTGTTAAACCGACCAAACTGCAGCTATGTTCCCCCACTGTGGTCTGCCTAATTTTCCACAATTGTCAGATTATTTTTGTTTTGAAACAAAGGCGTTTGGCTAAACCTGCCGGGATGTTGCTTTTGCAATACATTAATATATGGAATAATAACAACAGTGATTTATTCTAAGACTCTTCCCTTTACTGTTTAACCCCAGTGTGGCTGTAATCCCTCACCAGCCTGTTCTAACTCCCCCTTGTGGGCCTTATGATGATTATTGCACAGATCCTGATGATGTTGTCCTTCCTAGTTCAACGATCACCTGTTTGTACCGCTGTAACCCTTTCAATACCCAAGTCGCGTTCCCCCTCGTTTCCTTCAGCAGGGACACATCCGGCTCCAACAGAGCAGCGTGAATACTGCAAATGTGGACTAGTAACAGGGGGAGGCAATGGCCTAGCGGTATTGTAGGTGGCTTGTTAATCCATACAATGTTCCGGGGACCCGGGTTCAAATCTCTGCCATGGTGGAATTTGAATACAATAATAAAACAAATCTGGAATTAGGAAATTAATGATGACCATGAATCCATTGTCAGTTGTTGGAAAAATCCATCTAGTTTATAACATGAGGTGGCATGGTGGTTCAGTGGTTAGCACTGCTGCCTCTCAGCACCAGGAGCCTGGGTTCAATTCCACCCTTGGATGACTGTCTATGTGGAGTTTGCACACTTTCTCTGTGTCTGCCTGGGTTTCCTCTCATAGTCCAAAGATGTGCTGTTTAGGTGGATTGACCTTGCTAAAATTACCAATACACTCCAGGGATGTGCAGGCTAGGTGGCCTGCCTGTGGGAAATACAGGGATAGGATAGTGTTTTGGGCCTGGATGAGATGCTCTTCGGTGGGATAGTGTGCACTCAGTGGGCCGAATGGCCTGCTTCCACTCTGTAGGGATTCTATATAAATGAAAACACTTCAAATACTCAACAGCTCTGGCAGCAACCATGGACAGAGCATAGGGTTCCAGCTCTGGAATTCTGGCCTCACAATTCAGATTATTTCTGGCTCTTCTATTTCAGAAAAAGAGTTGATTTTTGTTCAGAAAATGTATCATTAAACAAAAGGGGCCCGTAAGCAAATTTCTTGGAACTTGTTTTGTGAAATCGGGCAGCCATTTGCAAGGAATGCCTTTATAAGAAACAGGGCAGGGGTAGTCCAATCGGCCCATCACATCTGCTCTATCATTCAATAAAATGATGTTGGTTCTGATTGCAGCCTCAACTCTACTTACCTGCCTGACACCCGCCATGACTCCCTCAGCAATCAACAATCTCAGTGACCCAGCGTTGAGTATGTTCAGTGACTCAGCTTCCATTGCTGTCTCTGGAAGATAATCCAAAGACTAGTGATGCTGTGAGAGAAGAAATTCCTTGACATCTGTGCCTTAGGCCTCTTATTTCCAAACCATACCCCTTAGTTCTTGATTCTGTCATTAATAGTTGATGATGGATATATGTTATTTACTTTAATAACTCAAAGTAGTTTCCTCTCCTTTCAAAATCTCTCATAGATTCCTACAGCTCAGAAAAGACCCTTCGGCTCACTGAATCTGTACTGACATAACTACCACTAAAAGTGCACAAGTCCCAATTTCTTGCACTTGTCTCATTTCCTTGAATGTGATAGTATGTGAAGTGCTCATCCAAATATTTTTTTAAAGGCTGTAA